TGTATGAACCTAGGCGTTAGATTAACAAAGACTACAACAGGGTATATTAAACACATTTATATAATTAAAGGTAAGTATGTTAAAAATGAATCAACAAAATTGGAAATCTACATAAACTATAAAAAGAACCAAATTTAAATTCTAGAGTTAAAAAAGCGTAATTACTGAAATTAAAAATAAAAATCATTAGATGAGCTCAAACAGCAAATATGAGATAGCAGAGAATCATTGATTTCAAGACATATCAATAGAAAGTATCCAAAGAATTAAAAGAAAAAAAGATTTAAAAAATGAATAGAACATCAGAAATCAACGTATGTGTAATGAGAGTCAGAGGAGGAAAGAAAAAGGAGAAAAAAACTTTTGAGTAACAGCCCAAAAGTTCCCCAATTTGATCAAAAACATTAACATTCAGATGCAAACAGCTCACCAAATTCCTAGGAGAATAAATACAAAGAGAATCTAGAATCTATACCAGAGTCAAAATGATAAAAGGCAAAAAAATCTTCAAAGGAGCCAGAAAAAAAGGACTCATCACACAGAACAATGTAATTAACAATGGACTTAATAGAAATGAAGGAGGACAAAGGTAAAGGAAAAACAAAATCAATATGCTCTAACAACAAAAACCATAAACCTAAAATGATCTATCAAGTAAAACTATCATTCAGAAATGAAGTCAAAATAAAAGCATTCTCAGATACACAAAAATTAAGAGAATATGTTGCTAATAGGTTTAACCCTATAAAAGGTACTAAGGTTCGTCAGGCTGGAAGGAATAACGCCAGGTAAGTTAGATGTACAGGAAGGAATGAAGAATACCAAAGACAGTCAATATAAAAGACTGTATATGTTTTTTCTCTTTTCTTAATTAAAAAAAGATAATTCAAAATAAAAATTATGACACAAAATTGTTGAACTATATAAATACACATAGTCAGATATATGCATATTATAATGTATACAATGAAATAGTATAAATTAAAAGAAAAAAGAAATGAAGCTAAGGAAATGCAAAATTGCTAAGTTTTACTGAAATGAAGTCAGTAGTAACCTGACAGAGACCAAGATAAACTTAAGATAAATATAGACATCTCTAAAGCAACCACTAAAATAATACCTCAACATATATATTCAGTGGATTTAAAATGGTACACTATAAAGACTGCTAACCCAAAATAAAGCAGGAAGAAACAGTTATAATAAAAACAACAAAACCCCTTAAGACATATAGAAAACAAGAGTACAGATAAATTCAATCTTACCAATATTTACATTAAATAAGTAGATTACATATTCCAATCAAAAGGCAGAGCCTATTACAGTGGATTTTAAGAACTCAAGACCCAACTATGTGCTTTCCATAAGAGACACATCTTAAATTAAGACATAATAAATTAATGTTAAAAGGGCAGAAAAAGATACATCAGACAAATGGTATACGTCAGACAGTTGAAGTAGCTATATTAACATCAAGCAAAATAAACTTTAAGATGAAAAAATTACTAAAAGATACTTCATAATGATAAATAGTTCAATACAGCAGTAAAACAATGATAAATGAACAAGAACCTAACAAAAGGATCAAAATAGATGAAGGAAAAATTGACAGATATAAAAAAGAAACATTTAATAGGCAGAATCAGAGGTATCAATACTCCTTTATCAGTAATGGGAAGAAAAACTACACAAAAAATCAGGAAGTATACGGAAGACTTACACAACACTATCAACCAACAGACAGAGAATACCCCACCCAACAGCAACAGAACACACATTAGCTTCTAACACAAGGAAAATTCTCAAAGACCATATTGTTGACCATAAAATATCATCAATAAATGTTAAAGGACTGAAAGTGTACAAATGATGTTTTCTGCATACATCAGAGGCCAACAAATCCCACTCACAGGCTGAATACAGATCACGGACTGCATTTTGTATATAAAGTTTTATTGCAACATAACCACAACTATTCATTTACTTATTGTCTATGATGCTTTCATGTTTCAGGGGCAGAACTGAGCTGTTGCAATATAAACCATATGGGTGCAAAAGCTAAAACTGCAGAAAAACTTAGTAAATCTCTGAGTTGGTATAGAAAAAACAAATATTCAATTTACAAGAAACACTTCCAAATAACTCACTGGTCAATGAGGACCTTACCAGAAAAAATTTAAAGTATCTTGAATTAAATGACATATCAAATGAAGCTTTCAATGGTTGAAACAGGAAGGAAGAAAATTCTAAAATAAGTAATCTAAACATTCACCTTAAGCAGCTATGGAAAAAAGGGCAAATCAAATCAAAGTAGAATACACTAAATTATAAAGATTCATTCATTCATTCATTATTTATTTATTCATAAGAGAGAGAGAGAAAGGAAGAAGATGGACAGGGAGAAGGAGAGAAGGAGAGAAGCAGACGTCCCACTGAGCACGGAGCACACCCCAATGAGGCACTCAATCTACAGCCCCAAGATCATGACCTGAGCTGAAATCAAGACTCCTACCACTAAACTTACTAAGTCACCCAAGTGCCCCAGAATGCACTAAATTATAAAGAGCAGAGCAAAAATGAATGGAATAGAAATACAAAGAGTGAAAAATCAATTAAACGAAGTTAATTATTTTATTTTATTTATTTATTTGACAGAGAAAGAGAGATCACAAGTAGGCAAAAAAGCAGGCAGAGGGGGAAGGGGAAGCAGGCTCCCCCTGAGCAGAGAACCTGACCTGGGGCTTGACCCCAAGACCCTGAGATCATGACCTGAGCCGAAGGCAGAGGCTTTAACCCAATGAGCCACCCAGGCACTCCAAAAGTTAATTATTTTAAAAGAACAACTGATAAAAGCTTAGCAAAAAATGACCAAAAAAAGAAAAAGGGAAAAAAAAGTAATTATACAGCAAACTTTGTGCTTCAGATACTGTACTATTTTTATATTAATTTGGGTATTTTAAGATTATTTTATGTCAAATCTCAAAAAAAGCTTTTGAGAGAGAAAATATAAATTTCATGCAAATCAAGGTAAAACTTTAGAAATATGCAAATTCTTAAAAAATAAACCTACCAAAACTAAAGAGATAAGAAATCTGGATATTCTGGTACTTATTAAAGAAGTTAAAGCCATAATTTAAAAATTTCCCCACAAAGAAACCCCCAGACCTGGACAGTTTTACTGTTAATTCTTTGTAACACTTAAGAAGGAAATGTTACCAATCTCTTAAAAACTCTTTCAAGGATTACAAAAAGAAATAACAGGAATGCCTGGGTAGCTCAGTTGGTTAAGCCGCTGCCTTTGGCTCAGGTCATGATCCTGGTATCCCAGGATAGAGTCCCACATCAGACTCCCTGCCTAATTTCTCCCTCTAACCCTCCCCCCTCATGCCCTCTGTCTCTCATTTTCTCTCTCTCAAATAAATAAAAATAAATAAATACAATCTTTAAAATAATTTAAAAAAAAGGAACAGTGTTCACAGAGAATACTACTCAGAAATAAAACACGAATGAACTGATATACATACTATGGTGGATGAAACTTAGACACTGTGTTGAATGAAAGTATATTTTATGAGTCCATTTATATAAAGTTCTTAGAATAAGCAAGACCTCTCCACCATGATAAAGAAGAACAGTGGCCCAGGGTCCAAGTTAGGTTAGCAGAAATTGAACTGGACAGAACAGGAACTTCCTGAAGTGGCAGAAGTTTTGTGGGTTACTTAGTTTAAGATGTACTTGCCAAGAACCCACTGAACTGTCAGATCTATGCATCTGACCATTTGTAAGTTACATCAATAAAATAAATGCTTCACTTAAAAAAATAATCAAGCCGGGGCGCCTGGGTGGCTCAGTGGGTTAAGCCTCTGCCTTCGGCTCAGGTCATGATCTCAGGGTCCTGGGATCGAGCCCCGCATCGGGCTCTCTGCTCAGCAGGGAGCCTGCTTCCTCCTCTCTCTCTGCCTGTCTCTCTGCCTACTTGTGATCTCTCTGTCAAAAAAAATAAATAAAATCTTTAAAAAAAAAAATAATAATCAAGCCATTGCAGATGACTGACCAAAAATCTGGCCAGTCCAGGTAAAGATGGAAACACATCTAGTCCTATAACTCTTGACTTAGGAAAGCAAATATAACCAGTTTCTCTAGTGATAAAAGTTTATTCATATACTAAATTCTGCAACTTCTTACAGAGACACTGAGAAGTTAATAGACAATGTCTTAGCAAGCCTCAAAAAAAAAATGAATGTGCACTGATTTTTTTTAATAAAAGCAAAAGTGAACACATACTGTTGAATTACAATCACGACTAATGAAACTAAGATTTTCAGGTTAATATGAAAATACCTATTAAAATGACTTCAAAAATAGCTGCTAGCAATTTGTTTGTGACATTTAGCCATTTTTCTCTCCTAAATCTACATATTTTCAGTGCATCTGGTCATATTAAGAAGAAAGCCTGAGTTATTTTTAAATGATCTTTCACACTGACTTTCCCTCTAATAGAAAGATGAGTGCTAAGCAGAAGCATCATTGTGAAACCTGAAGGTTTCAGAGAGAACTTGGTCCTGCCGACATTTTGATTTCAGAACAGTGAGACAATAAATTTTTATTTTTAAGCCACCAGTTTGTACTATTTTGTTACAAAGCCCTAAGAAAGTAATACAAATGTACTATTTATATATACCACAATTCTCATTATTGGATTATTTCATTAGTGACTTAAAAACATTTAGAAAAGATTATTAAATGAATGAACATATTAATCAAATCTCTCCTAAAAAAGAAATGTCCTATATTTCACTGTGAGAGCAGTGATTCTCTTCATGTTATTAAAATACTATGAATATGGGCATCACTACAGACTATGTGTACATTTGTAGAAAAATCAGAAGACACATGGGAGTTTGAAATGTTTATCAAAGAACACACAAAACTGAATAAAATTTTTATTTTAAAATATCACAAATAATTATAAACGTCTCAACTGCACAAACTTTTATATATTTACGTGTATGTGTATATATATGTGTCCACATATATACACACACAATATATATACACACACATGTATTTAAACTTTGCTTCATCTTTCATCTTTTTATCTGAGTAAAAAGAAGAACACTTTCCTCACTCAGGAGATTTTTGATGTTGTAATAATTACCTAGAAGGAAAGTGGTAAGAAAAAAAAATTATTTCCACAGGCATCATTTCCTTTTGACTAAGTATTTAGCTATCATTAAGGCAGTTACAGTATATAGTACCAAATTTTTTCTTAAATCAGTTCATCTAACCTAAAGTAAGTCTTATTCAACTCCATGAACTAAAAAATCCATGAGTTAACCATCACCTGTGATCCAGACAAGGTTTGAAAGAAATGAAAATCTCACATCATTCTGATAATGAATGCAAAGGTGAATTAGACAAGGGTGAAGAAAGAGAAAATTTCTGTATATTCAAACTAACACATACTAAGATTAACTGAGTTACAATAAATGAAGTGTGTTCACAACAGTGCTGGTACATACTAAGGACTATATAAACACTGCTATTATTACTGTCTCCTCTCATTAGAATGTAAGCTCCAGAAGGACAGGGAGTTTTCCCCTATTTTGCTCACTTATGTATCCTATACTCTTAGAGCAGTGCTTGACAGACTCTCTGTTGAATGATGAATAAATAAATGAACAAATTAAAAGTTCTCTTTCCAGAGGCTTGTGCTCTTTAATAGCTGATGAAACACACTATTGTGTATGTTTAAAATAATCTACTAAAAATTGCTTGACTACATAATGTCTTATAGATAATATAGCAGAAATAATTTTCCTCCTACCCTCGATACAACTAAATATTTTTACACTTTGAAATAAGCAATTCTTATCCAATTTTCATGTACCCATATACTAACATACTTACCTAATGACAAAACCAAAATAGGTATTGTCATGAGTTACATGACATTTTATTTTGACCAGTGTGGCTTCCATTTGCATGGTATTCATGAGCAACTATATAAATATTTTAACTATATGAAAGAAGATTGTCTTTATTTTTCTTACCTGAAGGAACATAGAATGAATCCCCAGTTGTTATTATATAAGGTGTTTCATGTAAGGTACATAAAAGGTCACCAAAGTTAACATAAAAAACCTGTAAAATTAAAAATTAAAATCTCATTTCAAATTGAACCACCACCACAACACAGTACAAAGAAACTTAAAGGAAATGCAGTAAGCAGAATAACGACCCTCCAAAGATGTCCACACTCTAATCTCCAGAATTTGTTTTGTTACATGACAAAAGGGACCTAGAGACTGGGAGACAGGTTAAGTCTGGATTATATAGTTGGGCCTATTCTAATCACACAAACCGTTAAAAGTGGAGAGTTTCTCCTGGAAGCAGAAGAGAGATGAAGCAGAGGAAAACCAGAGAAATTCAAAACATGAAAAGGACAGACTGTTGCTAGCACTGAAGATAAGAGGGCCATGGGTCAAGAAATACAGGCTATTTCTAGAAGCTGAGAATGAACTCTGGCCAACAGCCAGCAAGGAAATGGGAGCCTCAGCCCTACAACATGGAACTGAATTCTGCCAACAACCTGAATAAACCTGAAAGCAGATTCATCCTAAGAGTCTCCAGAGAGGGATACAGAGCTCCCAGCATCTTGATTCCAGCCCTGTGGTACTCTAAACAGAAGACTCAGCCAAGCTTACCAGGATTCTAATCAATATAACTGTGAGATAATAAATAGGTCTTGTTTTAAGTCAATGAATTTATAGTAATGTGTTAAAACAGCAATAGAAAACAAACACTGGAAGAAATTTCTTTTGTTCTTATTATTTAACAGTTATGAAAATTCACAACCACTGTAAATAATATCACTTAGCTATACTACAAAATAGCTTGGTCTTATATACACCTCTTCAAAGGTTACATGGTTGGGACAAGTAATTCAATCACCCGACCAAAGAGAGAACAAAAAGTAAAACAAATAAATGATACATTTAAGCAAATATCAACATTAAGAAAGTAAAAGAGGATAAATCTAATTCTCAATCATAAAGACTTCCATATTCATAATCACGGCAAATTTTACATTTTATACATAGGTAGCACCCAAGTGATGATTTGGTTTTGGGGCAACCAGAAAAACCGAAAGCCTTCCAACATTCAGATTCAAATTTTGAGATTCAGCCATCAAAAATATTCTGCCTCAGAGAATTAATCCTCCTCTTCCACCCCCTTATTTTTTTTTTAACACTTTGTAAAATGAGCCTTAAATACCAGAAAAACGATAGCAGCTAGCACTTATATAGCACTTACTCCTTGCCAGTCACTATTCTGAGCACCTAATTTACATTCATTTAATGTATGTAAGTAGCAGTGAGACAGGTACTATTTTAATAGTTTTATACAAATGAAGAAAACAAGGCAACAGACTGAGGTAATTTTCCAAGTTCACAATGTAAATGGCAGAAACGAGATTTGAACTCAGGCACTTTGATTCCAGAATTCATGCTCTTAACCACTATGAAATGCTGACTCCCTAAATAGGGAAAAAACTCTTCAAATGGTTCCAAAGTACGGTACCTTATAATTTAATTTAAAAATTTTTTATTATATCTTAAAATAATTTTGCATTAATTGAAAAGAAAAAAGATAACAAACATACTACCCAGAAGGTCAAGCATATATTTCTAAGTGGGTTTTTTTTTTTTTCTTTATCTATTCAGCTTAGCTATGTACACCTCTTTCCACTTCTGCAAACATCTTAGTAGGAAGGTTTTTGAAAGTGCTTGCTTCGGCAGCACATATACTAAAACTGGAAGGCTTGTGAAGTACACAAATATAGAATGACAAACTCCCATGAATACCTAACACCAACACTTTCCCCGTTCCATCTCTTTACTTCCCCCATTCCATGTTATTTTGCAATAAATACCCCAGCATCATAAATCATCTGCAAATATTTCAGTGTGTACTAAAAAAATCAAGGTGTTTTTAATTTTTTATTTTTTAAAGTTTGGTTTATTATTAGTAGTAGTAGTAGTGATCTCCATACTCAGCATGTGGCTTGAACTCAGGACCCCAAAATAAAGAGTCACATGTTCTACCAATAGAACCAACCAGACACACCTCAAGGTGCTTTTTAAAAACACGACTGTAACAGTTTTATCACAACTAAACATAAATGAATATTTAATATCAAATACCCAGTCAGTATTAAATTTCCAATTGTTTCTTAAATGTATTGTTTAAGAAGTTATTTATCCTCTTAAATTGCTCAATCTATAGTGGTTCTCAATCTGGGGGTGCTTTCTCAATTTCAGGAGACAACAGGCAATGTCTGGGGACATTTCTGGTTCTTACAACTAGAGGAGTCCTACTAGAATCTACTTGGCAGAGGCCAGGGATGCTACCAAACATCCCACAATGCGCAGGAAGCCTCTCTACAACAAAGCATTATCCGTCTAAAATGTCAATAGTGCCATGGTTGGTTCTACTTGGTTTTTATTCCTTGCAACTTATTTATTAAAGAAATCAAGCAGCAAAGTTTGCTGTAAAAATCTTTGCATAGCTGAATTTTGCTGATTACAACATCTGGGTATCATATGAAAGGTCATCTATTCTTTGTTTCCTATAAATTGGTGGTTAGATATTAGAGTTTGATCAAATTTGGGTATTTTTGTTGTTTGCTTTATAGGTTTTTTTTGTTTGCTTGCTTTTTAAAGGAGATGGAAGCAGCAAGACTATTTTATACAATGTTGTATTCTTCCATCAGGAGGCACATAATGTCTGGTTATCTTCTTTTTATTTTTTTCTCCTTCTTTTTTTTAATTTATTTTTTTTTTTTAAGATTTTATTTATTTATCTGACTGAGATCACGAGTAGGCAGAGAGAGGAGGAAGCAGGCTCCCCACTGAGCAGAGAACCTGATTCAGGGCTCAATCCCAGGACCCTGGGATCACGATCTAAGCTGAAGGCAGAGGCTTTAACCCACTGAGCCACCCAGGTGCCCCTAATTTACTTTTATAATTAATTATTTTTACCCCTCCTCCCACTCTCCTTCCCTCCACCAACCCTCAGTTTGTTTCCTATAAGTAAGAGTCTCTATGGTCTGTCTCCCTGATTTTGTTTTATTTTTTCCTCTCTTCCCCTATGATCCTGTTCTCTTTTTTTTTCCTGTTTTGTTTCTTAAATTCCACATTAGTGAGCTCATATGATAATTATTTCTCTGACTGACTTCATTTAGTATAATACCCTCTAGTTCCATCCACATCATTGCAAAAGACAAGATTCCATTTTTTGATGGCTGAGTAATATTCCATTACGTGTGTATGTATGTGTGTATGTACACACAGACACACAGACACACACACACACACACACACACACACACACACCTTCTTTATCCATTCATCTGTCAGCGGACATCTGGGCTCTTTCCATAGTTTGGCTATTGTGGACATTGCTGCTATTAACATTGGGGTGCAAGTGCCCCTTCAGATCACTACATTTGTATCTTTGGGGTAAATCCGTAGTAGTGCAATCACTGGGTTGTACAGTAGCTCTATTTTCAACTTTCAGGGTTGTCTTCTTTTTTAGATATTAGCAGACATTGATACTCAATGCCTAGACAGATCCAACAGTTTATCAAGGATTACAAAATGATACAATTTTACTCTACTATTTCTTTTTCATTTATTAATTGAAATTTCTTTTTAAAGATTTTATTTATTTATTTGAGAGAGTGAGAGTACAAGCAGGGGGTACATCAGAGGGAGAGGGAGAAGCAGGCTCCCCACTGAGCAGGGAGTCTGATGCGGGGCTCGATCCCAGGAACATGGGATCATGACCTGAATCAAAGGCAGATGCTTAACCAACTGAGCCACCCAGGCACCCCTAAATGAAATATTTCTAACAAAAACAAACTTCACCTCATTTTTATTTGGTTACATAATAGTACAGTTTATAAGAAAAGGGCAGAAAAAATATTCGATTATTTCCCTTTATTTACCATTTGTTGTCAAAATAAGTTAGCCTCCTAGAATTCTCCAAGAGTGGTGAATTAGGTTTTCTTTTCGTAGCAGTCTTTCAAATTCATGAATTTATATACAGTAGATATGTATCAATCCACTTAAGTTATTCTTATTTACTCGAAACACTTCAAGCTCAGGGGTACCTGGGTGATACAGTCCAATAGGCCTCCAACTCTTGGTTTCAGCTCAGGTCATGGTCTCAGGGTTGTGGGATTGAGCCCCATGTCACACTCCATGCACAGCGCAGAGTCTGCTTGAGATCCTCTCCCTTACCCTCTCCCAATCCTCCCCACATTCTCTTTCTAAAATAAATAAATAAATCTTTAAAAATACATATTTTAAGCTCAGCTCCAGGCCTCCATTCAGACATTTCTCTAAGGAGCTCTGGTTCTTTAAAGTATGTTACTCTAACTTTTTGTTTTTTAGTTCTGGAACATTTATTGTCTAATTTTTCAAATATTTCCATCCCTTCACTCATTTGGTTTTATTTCCTCTCTTCTGTTTTTTTTCCTGTTGTCCACATCACTTCACTTTTATATTTTATATTACATAATTTTTTATATTTATATTATATATTTTATATTTATGTAATATAATAAAAAATATATTTTATAGTTCCATTTCTAAATCTCATCTTTTGGGAGAGCTCCACAACCAAATCCCATAGTTAATCTGTTAATTCTTTTGTGGTTTGATTTTAACAAATCTACTACTGCTACTATCTCCCTCTCATAGATTTTTTAACATTGAGTTTGAAGGAAAGAGTGAACAGCCTATGCTAGTTCTCTCTCTGGTCCCTTTTGTTTTTCAAAAGCATATATTTTAAAAGTGTGCTTCATGTTTTAAAAAATGTAAAAATACTCTGATATTTAAAAAAAAAAAAAAAAAGAACTTTGGGGCGCCTGGGTGGCTCAGCGGGTTAAGCCGCTGCCTTCGGCTCAGGTCATGATCGCAGGGTCCTGGGATCGAGCCCCGTATCGGGCTCTCTGCTCAGCAGGGAGCCTGCTTCCCTCTGTCTCTCTCTCTCTGCCTACTTGTGATCTCTCTCTGTCAAATAAATAAATAAAATCTTTAAAAAAAAAAAAAAAAGAACTTTAACTCTGATTTTCATTATAAAAAGTTAAAGGCAATATTTAGAAGAAATAAAAATAAACTATAATCACCTGATAACATGTTATTTTTCTATAGTTCCTTCAATTCTCATTTTTAAATTCCAGTCAGAATAAAACAGTTTTCTATTTTCCATAAGTTTGCTTAAATATTTATCCTAAAGTTCTTCTTATATGACTATTCTTCAAAAATATATGCTTAAACTGATATAAAAATACTTATTACAGTACCTGGAACATCTAAGTGCTATATAACTGCTTATTATCACATAATGACATCTTATTACAAAGTCAAAATATAAAATATAACCATTTCTTTCTGCAACACTTTTCAATAGTTTCTAATTTTTGCAATTACTATCAATGTTACAAAAAATACCTATCTATGTTCAGTTTCCCTACCCTTTAAATTATTTTCTGAGGAAAATATACTGAAATAAGAGTCATAAATCAAAGGGTACAGATATTTTTTAAATAATTTCTACTAGCTCAGTAAATATAAAATATTCTTGTTTTTAATGTTTTTTTAATGTGCATTCCTTTGAATAGTAGCCAGATTAAATACTTTCAAACATTTACTATTTAAATTTACTATTTAAATTTTCTTTTGTCTAATAAAGGCATCACAGTTTAATGGGTAACTGGTATTATTTCAATGAAGATATTTCATAATGCTTGTCTTATTAATTGTTCCTTATTATGCAGAAATCATCATTACTTTAGTTAGTTAAATGTGTTTTTTACTCTTTTAGTAGCACCTGGAGATCTTTATCATTTTAAGATTGGATTAAAGTATTTTCTAATTCTAGTTATACTAAGGTATTATTGAGTTAGTCTTTCATGTGTGCCTTTTTTTCTTGCCTCAATTTGCCCTTCTTTGATAATATAAACCCAAGGGTACTCGTGTTCCTTCTCTTTTTCTTTCTTGAGTAAAATTAATTGTTTTGAATGCAATACTCCAGTAACCCATGATACCACAGGTTCTTGAAATGTTACATACTGAAAAATGTGCCTTAGACTCAGTATTTTTAAATGGCAGTAAAACAGTAAATATATATTTTTTTTAAAGATTTGATTGATTGATTTGTCAGAAAGAGAGAGCAAAAACAGAGGAACAGCAGGCAGAGGGAGAAGCAGGCTCCCAGCCGAGTAAGGATCTGGATGTGGGACTCAATCCCAGGACCCTAGGATCATGACCTGAGCCAAAGACACGCTCAACCAACTGAGCCACCCAGGCATCCCTAAAACAGTAATTATTATTAAAATTTGGTGATATTCAAATTCTGCAATTTTCAAATTCAAAATGTACAAATATAACATATATATACTTCACATCAGTGGTGCAAGGGTGTGTGTCTCCAATGAGAGAATAAAGACAGACTTACCTTGAATCTCATTATAATTTCAGCCAGTAATGCTGCCACATACAGTAATACATTATTTAGTACTTATTGAAGTAACTAGTTCCTACTCCTTAGTCTACTGCTAATTACATGATTCTGAGAAAGACTTTTAAAATCTCATTACTGCTAAACTACATGATCAGTGAAATGAAATTTAGACTTAATTTTCAGCAGCTCTAATGATTTGTTTGCAAACCTATATTCTACTGTTCCTCAAAGAACATTCCTTAAACTTTTAAATTTCAAGGTTACATGGCTATGCACAGAACAGGTACTTATTAAATAACCATTGCCTGATTGACTCTAAACAGATTTAACAGAAAAATTGTCTATGCACCACAATAATATCATTTCTGAGAAAACAGCATTTTTAATGCCTCATCAAGTCCAAAAAATCAGAGTTATGGCAATAGAGAAACATAAACATATGGAGAAATACACTCACCAATATATCTGAGCCAACATGCTGCTTTCCCTTTTCTTGATGTGGTCCCAGTATCAATTTTCCAGTAGAAAAAATAGGGGTATCCAGTGTTTTATACACTTTCAACTCACCATGCTCAACACAAAATTGGTATGTATCTCGTGGCCTTAAAAGATCTAAGGGAAAAACACTAATATAAATATAAAGCAACAGCAATAATAATGCTCAATGATATAACATATATACACACATATACAATAGCATTATTCCTAGATATAAACCTGGCTTACAAAGACAGAAGTGATTAAGGTCATTTACTTGAGCTAGAATGGTAGAGGTCAAATTTTGTCTCTCTCACAAGTTGTGTGACCAGGCAAGTTACTTCTCTATGCCTCTGTTTTCTTTTCTCTAAAATGGGACAATAATAGTTCATCTATGTTAGAGGTGTGAATATCAAATGAATAAATGTATATAAAGTATTTAAAATACTGGCTGGCACAATTAATAAGCATCAGGTAAGTCTTAGCTATTAATAAAAAATGGCAAAATTATTATTATTTCTATTATAGCTCAGAGAACAAAATTAGCTAAGAAACAAGATTTCCACATCTTTATAAAGTTTAACATGGCCCACAATTAACAAATGTATCATCGTAATAGATTATTTTGTGCTTGCTTGACTGATTATTAAACAGCAAGATTTTTATCACATAAAGCCAGAGTACTTACTGTTGCTCACAAATCACTATCTTAATTCTGAATTCCCCTTTTACTTATAAACCTTTCCAAATATACAGTTAATATATTCTTCTGCAATCAACTTCTGTTTCCTTGGTTATTTAGGAATGTTAGTAATCTCACAGATTATAGAATATAGAAAATATATAGACTCAAGAAACAGACAAAAAGTTATGAACTCCTGACAACACTGACAACTTTTCTAACCTGATACAATATAGCAATATTTTTGGTTAAGAATGTTACACTAAATAAAATTTTCTGTACTTCTACCTCTGTTGCTAAATAAATAATCCGATTATAAAAATACTTAATACTACTTAAGATGTCAAATGGAACCTATTTCACAGCCAAAATTTTAATTGGGAATACGATTACTGCCTCTCTGGTTTGACCTATTTGTCCTCTGACTTAGGAGAGGAGAAATTAGTCCTGATTACTCACTGGTATAGTCAAAACAGCTAAAACATTTAAATATTCCCTATATGTAAATTCTGCCTGTTGGTAGATAGCCAAGTGTTCCCTATTTGCCCTTACCACACTATAGCTCATCTTTTGGAACCAGTCATGGTCTCAGAGACAATGTACTTTTAATGCCTATGAGATACAACGGTAGGCCTCTAGAACCCCTCTGCTGGCCTTAAGGTTAACCATGGCATTTATGGCATGCCAATCAATGCCCTTGCTCATCATCACTCTAAAGGTCTGATCTCCCAGGTACTATCATTGGCATCCCATGGTGCAGAAGGCTGTCTAAATCCTGTCCACAATCCCTGTCTGGACTCACAGTAAGGGTGTATTCTAGGATCTGCCAGCTAAATTGCAACAACTACCCATAAAAAACCCCTGTTCCCATGTGTCATCTTGGTTAAAGAAGGCCTGGGCCCTACTGGGGGAGGAAACACTCCTGATGATGGCAACTGCACCCTAGAGGATAAATGCATTGTGCTATGTGTCCCTAGACATTGTTTGCTATCAGAGCTCCTCCAGAGTAGTCCTCAAAGGCTGCTTACTGGTATTAGATACTCTATGGATTTTGGATCTAAAAGAGCTAGGAAGTAAAAGAGAAAGTAGACAGGGTAGTCATCAAGCCAGCAATCTGTCCTTACTAATTATTAAATTAAGCATTTTCATTATCCCTAATCTTACCCATGGGAATAATCTCTCTTGTTTCTGGGTCCTTTACCCTTGTTGGCTTCAATGGATCTCCCAGAGGTATACTCAGATTTACCATGAATTTATTCTCTGCAAAAGAAATACCATTGTAATAAAGCTACTTAAAATTCTTCCCAATTAAAAAGAAGTCTGGTATTAAATACGGCTATGAATAAGTTGAAAAAAAAAAAAAGACTGCAACAATCTCTTCCTATTTTCCTATTTATAAATGAACACTCCGACAAACAAAAATTCAAAAACCACAATGATTTAATGCAAAATCAAACATACTAAACTATTTTCTGCAAACCTGTTATGACAACTCTTGATACTCTTGCATCATCAAGAAAGTTTAGAATATTCTCTCAGAGAGCAAAAAGTATAAAATACATTACAGAAAAAAATTCATTAAAAATGTCAATTTTAATCATAATTTGACATGGGAAAAGTTAACTTCAATGACAGAGTAATTTACTCATGAGGAAGTTTTTTTTTATATTATGCTATTAATGATTTTTTTAAAAGAGTAAAAATCTGTTTATTTTCAGAATTTGGGGAAAAAGTGAACATTAAAAAGTGAATTCAAGGGGGCACCTAGGTGGCTCTGCCTTCGGCTCAGGTCACGATCCCAAAGTCCTGGGACCGAGCCCTGAGTCGGGCTCTCTGCTCAGCAGGGAGCTGGCTTCCACCTCTCTCTCTGCCTGCCTCTCTACCTGCTTGTGATCTCTGCCTTTCAAATAAATGAATAAAATCTTTTTAAAAATTAAAATATTAAAAAATAAATAAATTTTTTTAAAAAGTGAATTCAAAACAATAGAAAAGAAAACACAATACTCCAAAACCGACAGGATGCAGCAAAAGTAGATGTTAAGAGTGAAATTTATGGGGGCGCCTGGGTGGCTCAGTTGGTTAAGTGACTGCCTTCGGCTCAGGTTGTGATCATAGAGTCCCGGGATCGAGTCCCACATCGGGCTCCCTGCTCCTTGGAGAGTCTGCTTCTCCCTCTGACTTTCTTCCCTCTCATGCTCTCTCTCAAATAAATAAATAAAATTTAAAAAAAAAAAAAAAAAAGAAAAGAGTGAAATTTATGTTATAAACACTTATATTAAGAAATAAAGTTCAAAGAAACAACTTAACATTACACAAGAACTAGAAAAAGACTTAGCTGAAATTTAGAAGGAAAGTAACAAAGAAAATAACAAAGAAAGTAACAAAGAAGGAAGTAACAAAGAAAAATCAGAAATAAATAAAATAGAGACCAGAAGAAACACTAACATAACATTGAAAGTAATGAGCAGTTTTACCATTTGATTTCTTATTTGGCCCAATGCTTGTCTGTGCAGTAGTGTATTGCTTAATATTTACATACTAAATATTTAATAGTTTACACTGTAGATTTTCCAGCATTGTTTTATTGTTGATCTTCAATTTTGTACCACTGTGGTTGGAAAATATACTCGGTATGATTTCAGTCTTCTTAAATTTGCAGTATTTGTTATGTCTCTTTTTATGTGGTTTAACCAGGGGATTCTTCTGTGTGTATTTGAAGAAATGTGTATTCTATTTTTCTTGGATGGAATGTTTTATATATATTTTTGGAACCATGTATTCTGAAGTATGTTTTGAGTTAAAAAATGTTCTTGTTGAAATAAAAAGTAACTCTCACTGAGGGTACTTATTTAAAATAAAGCATATCAGAAGGGAGGTGTGTGGAAGGATGGGTGAAGTAGGTGAAGGGGATTAAGAGTATACTTATCATGAGTACTGAGTAATGATGTTTAGAATTGTTGAATTGCTATATTGTACACCTGAAACTAATAGAACACTGTATGTTAACTACACTGGAATTAAAATGTAAAAAAAACTTAATAAAAAAATAAAGAAAAAAAGATGAACTCACCCTAACGTATTACATCTAACATTTTTACAAATAAATTACAGAATTTGTAAAGAGCTACTTCTCAGAGCACTATTATTTAAAATAAAATCTAAAGGTTACTTTCAGGAATAAGCTCATACTTCTTTCCTCATTATCAAGACAGATCCTTTTCCTAGCAACCATTTTATTGACTTTTCCAATGTTTCCTTTTGACTTCCTTTTAGATGATACTGTGTCTGGGGACAGTATTCCACCAATCACAAATCCTCCTGAAAGTTAATGACAAAAAAGGTAAATATCATACCTGAGAAAGTAAAAATATTGAACCAAAATTTAAATTACTATAGCATATTTTCTTTCAGACTACCAAAGAATATATTACTATCATATTTTACAGTTAGTAACTCAAACAACAAAAATACCAACCAATTTCACTTATGTTTCTACCACCCTAAATCCAGATGCACTGATGAAACATGATAGAATGATCTCTGTTGCTTGAAATCAAGTCAGTTTGAAAAACAACACAAAAGCCAGCAATGAAATATTTATAATAATTTACATGTGAGTTTATTCTTTGACTTAGATACATCCATCACAGAAAGGAAAATAATTTTCTGGCCCACTCTCTATATTTCTATAGAGAAATATGATGAGCAAATGGGATGAGAATAGTAAAAGGGAATACTTAATCTTTGCCACTTACTATTTTCTCATGTTCTGATCTAATGACTTATTTCTTGCAATTAAAAACCTTGTTAATAGTATGAAATAAAAATATTCTCAAGCCACAAACTCACCTCAAACTGCTACCAAAGAGAGAAAAAGATAAGCATCTCCATAGTAATCAGATAGATCTGTACTTGAATCTATTCTGGCCTCATTTTTGGAGGATGATGATAAAATGAGGTAATTTATGTACATATGTAAAATAGTGCTTTGCACATAATATACATAAACTGTTGCATCCTAATTATTATTTGTCAGATACTGAAGTGTAAACTTGAATTTACCTGATGGCCTTCCATGATAATCTATTCGCTCTCCCCGCCAATATTCCAAAGGTTTCAATCGTGTTCTCTTGGTCCTGCGAACATTTGGTGTGTTGGAAGGCAATACTGTAAAAAGACATCACACAAAAAGGTACACACATAAATGTTTAATTGGATGGTCTTTGTAGTGGAAAGATTGATATTACCCTCTAGAACACTAATGTTTCTAGACAAAACAGTAGAAAAAAATTTTTACAATATATCTGTGCTAATAGTTAAAGAAATATCAATGAAAAAACAAGTTGCTAGATCGACAAAGATTAAAAAACTTGATGACACCCAGGGTGAATGATGTTAAAGAAACTCAAACATACTTTAAGTAGAAATGTAAACTGATTGAAAGCAACTTAGCCATAACTTGATTTAGAATTTAACTTATATAAAATAAATCTGCAAAAATATTCACAAAAAGAGGCAAAGCTAGAGGTGGTCTAAGACAGTAACATAGGAAGACCCTGAGCTCACAACTTCCACAGACATACTGAACCTGCACCTAAATATAGACCAATTTCTTCTGAAGAACTGAAAACTGACTGAAGAACTTCTGCTCAACAAAGGACAGAGGGACCACGGAGAGAAAGGGGGGAGAGACAAGACACAGTAGTATCTGAAACTCCATTCCATCTGATGACCTGCAGAAGGATGTCACTGAGAGATGCACACCTGCCCTGAGGCACAAAACAAACAAATAAAATACCACTGGTTTAAAGGGTAACTAGACAGTAATTGAAGAAAATCCATTTTCTAACCTTAGAGCACCTGTCAAAAAGAGGCACAGCTACTGGAACTCTCTCCAGGTCAACAGGTGCTGGCAAGCACCATTGTTTACATGCCTTCACCTTGATAATGCAGATGGGATCAAAATTCAGGTGCTCTAGCTGGCCTGGTAGGACTACCATAGCCAGACCCAGGACCCAAGCTCCAACCACCCCCATAGGGTAGCACCCCATCTGCCTTGCCTCATCACACCAGGGTGACAACAGCCCAAGCACACTCCAGGTCTAGCTGGCCACCCAAAACCACCAAAACACAGAGTCTACATAGGGGATATTCTTACACAAGTCCACTTCTTCAAGACCAAGAATGGCAACTGTCCAATTTATTCATAGATACAAATAGAACATTAGACAAAATAAGGAGACATGTTCATGCTCATGTTCCAAATGAAAGAGTAAGATAAAACTCAACAACAACAACAATAAAACCCCTAAACAAAACACAAGTAAACAATCCACCTGAGAGTTCAAACTAATGATCATAAAAATGCTCACCAAACTTGAGAGGAGAATGGATGAACTTAGTAAGAACTTCAATAAAGAGATAAAAAAATATAAAAAAGAACCAGAGCTAAACAATACAAAATTGAAAGGAAAAACAGATTATAGGAACTGACAGCAAAGTAGAGGATAGAAGAATGGATCAGTGAGATGGGTAGTAAAAAAGCACCTATGTTGAAAAGCAAAAAGAAAAAATAATTTTTTAATGAGGATAGGTTAAGGGAACCCTGGGACAACATCAAGTGTAATAACAGTAGTACTAACAGGGGTTGAAGAAGAAGAAGAAGAAGAAGAAAACAGAGACAGAAGGGCAGAAAACTTAACTGAAGAAATAGTAACTGAAAACTTCCCTTAATTTGGGAAAGGAAACAGATATCCAAGTTCAGGAAGAACAGAGAGCAAGGAGGTCCCAATGAAGTCCACACCAACACACATAATAATTAAAATACCAAAAGTTAAGATAAAGCAGAAATCTTTTTAAAAAGCAGCAAGAGAAAAGCAGATAGTTATGTACAAGGGAAAACCCATAAAGGTATCAACTGATTTGAGGCTCCTGGGTGGCTCAGTGAGTTAAGCCTCTGCCTGAGGCTCAGGTCATAATCTCAGGGTTCTGGGATCGAGCCCCGCACTGGGCTCTCTGCTCAGAAGGGAGCCTGCTTCCCCCTCTCTCTCTCTGCCTGCCTCTCTGTCTACTTGTGATCTCTGTCAAATAAATAAATAAAATCTTTACCAAAAAAAAAAAAAAAAAGGTATCAACTGATTTTTCAGCAGATATTTTGCATGCCAGAGAAGAGAAACAGGATATATTCAAGGTCCTGAAAAGAAAAACAAAACAATAAAATCAAGAATGCTCTCCCAGGGAAGGTTATCATTCAAAACTGAAGGAGAGATATTAATTTCCCAAACAAGTTAAATTAGTTCATCACCACTAAACTAGCCTTACAAGAAATATTAAAAGAATTCCTTTAAGCAGAAAAGAAAAGGCTATAATTAGAAGAAAATTAGGAAAGGAAAATTTTCACTGGTAAAAGCAAACATGAAAAACATAGTACATCAATCATTTATAAAGCTAGTATGAAGGTTAAAAGATACAAATAGTAAAATCAATTATATCTAGAAAAATCATCTCTGGGATTCACAACATGGATAGGGGAGCAAAAACATAGTGCTTTTAAAATGTGTTGGAACCTACCCAACCATCAACTTTAAATAGATTCCTATATACACAGAATGTTATATGTGAACCTCATGTTAATACCACAAGTAAAAAACCTGTAATGGAAACACAAAACAAAACAAAACAAAAAAGAGAGAGAAAAGATTAAAAGCATAACATTAAAGAAAGTCATCAAATCATGAGAGCAAAAAAAAAAGAAACAGAGAAAACTACAAAAGCAACTAGAAAACAATGAAAAAAATCACAGTAAGTACATACCTATTGATAACTGCTTTAAATGTAAATGGACTGAATGCTCTAATCAAAAAACACAGGGTGAGTGAATGGATAAAAAATTAGACCCATCAACATGCTGTGTACAATAAACTCATTTCATATCTAACAATACATACAAACTGAAGTTAGGACCAAAAAAGAGTCCATGCTAATGGAAGTGAAAAAAAAAGCTAGGGTAGCAATAACTACATCAAATGAAAAAAACCTTTAAAATAAAGACTAAAAGACGGGGCGCCTGGGTGGCTCAGTGGGTTAAAGCCTCTGCCTTCGGCTCAGGTCATGATCCCAGGGTCCTGGGATCAAGCCCCGCATGGGGCTCTCTGCTCAGCGGGGAGCCTGCTTCCTCCTCTCTCTCTGTCTGCCTCTCTGCCTACTTGTGATCTGTCAAATAAATAAATAAAATCTTTAAAATAAATAAATAAATAAAGACTACAAGAGACAAAGAAGGGAATTACATAACCATGCAGAATCAATCCAACAAGAGGATTTAACAGTTGTAAGTATATATGAACCCAACACAGGAACACTTAAATATATAAAGTAAATACTAACAGACACAAAGGGAGAAACCGACAGCAGTACAACAGCAGTAGACTTCAGGGGTGCCTGGGTGGCTCACTGAGTTAAGCATCTGTCTTTGGCTCAGATCATGATCACAGAGTCCTTGGATCAAGCCCCATGTCAGGCTCCCTACTCAGTGGGGAGTCTGCTTCTCCCTTTCCCTCTTCCCCTTCCCCTACCTGTGTGTGCGCTCTCTAATAAAGAAATCTTTTAAAAAAAAAAAAAAAAGAAAGAAAGAAAGAAAGAATTGTCTTCACAGATGACAAGAAAGAAAGAAAGAAAGAAAGAATTGTCTTCACAGATGACATGATACTCTATGTGGAAAATGCAAAAGATTCCACCACAAAATTGCCAGAATTAATATAAGAATTCAGGAAAGTAGTATGATATAAAATCAATGCACAGAAATCAGTTGCCTTTCTATACACTCAACAATGAGATGGAAGAAGGAGAAATTGAAGAGTTGATCCTATTTACAATTGCACCAAAAACCATTAGACACCTAGGAATAAATCTAACCAAATAAGCAAAGGATCTATACTCAGAAAACTATAGAACACTCATGAAAGAAATTGAGGAAGACATAAAGTAATGGAAAAACATTCCATACTCATGGATCGGAACAACAAATATTGTGAAAATGTATATGCTATCTAGAGCAATGAACAACAAATATTGTGAAAATGTCTATGCTACCTAAAGCAATCTACACATTCAATGCAATCCCCATCGATATACCATCAACTTTTATCACAGAACTGGAACAAATCATTCTCAAATTTGTATGGAACCACAAAAGACCCCAAATAGCCAATGGAATCTTGAAAAAAGAAAACCAAAGCTAGCAGCATCACAATTCCAGACTTCAAGCTCTATCACAAGCTTCTAATCATCAAGACAGTATGGTATGGGCACAAAAAAGACATATAGATCAATAGAAAAGAAGAAAGAACTTGGAAATGGGCCCTCAACTCAACAATCAACTAATCTTCGACAAAGCAGTAAAGAATATCTGATGGAAAAAAAGACAGTCTCTTCAACAAATGGTGTTGGGAAAATTGGACAGCCACAGGCAGAAGTCTAAAACTGGACTATTCTCTTATACTATACACAAAAACAAGCTTTCCAAAATGGATGAAAGACCAACATGTGAGATAGGAATCCAATAAAATCCTAGAGAAGAACTTAGGCAGCAACCTCTTTGACCTCAGCTACATCAACGTCTTGCTAGACACATCTCCGAAGGCAAGGGAACCAAAGGTAAAAACGAACTACTGGGCCTTCATCAAAATAAAAAGCTTTTGCACAGCAAAGGAACAACTGACAAAACCAAGACAACCAACAGATTGGGAGAAGATATTTGCAAATGACATATCAGATAAAGGGCTAATATCCAAACTCTACAAAGAACTTACCAAACTCAACACCTAAAGAACAAATAATCCAGTCAAGAAATGGGCAGAAGACATGAACAGACACTTCTCCAAAGAAGGCATCCATATAGCCAACAGACACATGAAAAAATGCTCAACATCACTCAGCATAAGGGAAATACAAATCAAAACTACAATGAAATACTACCTCACACCAGTGAGAATGGCTAAAATTAGTAAGTCAGGAAATGACATGTTGACAAGGATGTGGGGAAAGGGGAACTCTCTTACACTGCTGGGAATGCAAGATGATGCAGCCACTCTGGAAAACAGGATGGAGGCTCCTCAAAAAGTTAAAACTAAGAGCTACCTTACGATCCAGCAATTATACTACTAGGTATTTACCCAAAGGACACAAACATAGTGATCCGAAGGGCACAGGTACACCAATGTTTATAGTAGCAATGTCCATAATAGCCAAACTATGGAAAGAGCCTAGATGTTCATCAATAGAGGAATGGATAAAGAAAATGTTGTAGGTATATACAATGGAGTATTACTCAGCCAGCAAAAAACCCGAAATCTTGCCTCTGGCAACAACGTAGATGGAACTAAAGGATTAAGCTAAGCAAAATAAGTTAATCAGAAAAAGACAATTATATGATTTTACTCATGTATGGAATTTAAGAAACAAAACAGGACTCATAGGAGAAAGGAGGGGAAAATACAAAATCAAAGAGACAGATAAAACCGTAAGAGACTCTTAATCATAGGAAACAAACTGAGGGCTGCTGGGGTAAGGGGGGATAGGGAAACGGGTGCTGGGCATTAAGGACAGTGATGGAATGAGCACTGGGTATTACATAAGACTGAGGAATCACTGACCTCTACCTCTGAAACCAGTAATACATTATATGTTAACGGAATTTAAATAAAAAAATTTTTTAAAAGACTAATCAATCACGGAACTCTACCTCTGAAACTAATAAAACACTATATGTTAATTAATTCAATTTAAATACAATTAAATTTTAAAAATAAAGAAAACTTGAATATTTTTTTAAACAGCAGCAGAAAAAAAGCAGTATTAATAAACTGAAACTCTCATAATCATTACAACTTTGGTTGTAAAATACTTTGGTTGTTAAAATTTACCATAACCATCTAGCTAATTTTCTGTTGGAAGTATTTCTCCTGAATTCTCAATAGCTAGTTTTTGGAGTCAAACTTACATACTAATTTATTATGAACTAATTTTGAAACATCCCAGAAGTTACAGCCACTCAACCTCTCTTATGTCAACTGTAGTTTCCTCCATCTGCCTAATAAAATAAATAACAGATAAATAACAGAACCTATCTTATGGAGTTTTGTGAGATGTAACTTAATACAATGGTGTAAAATGCCTGACATATAGCAATTCATTGAACATTAGCTATTACTGTTTTTTTAACTTTATTTACTTACTTATTTAAGTAGTCTCTACAACAACATGGGGCTCAAACTCATGACCCCAAGAGCAAGACTCACATATTCTGACTGAGCCAGACAGGCATCCTGCTATTACTGTTTTTTTAAAAAAATGGGTAAAGCTGTATTTATAAGAACATTCATGGTAGTACTATTTATATTTAGAAAACAAAAACCAAACTGAACACCATCTAAATGCTCCACAATAGAAAATTTATAAATCAGGGTAGTTATGTATGCATGTGTTTGTGTGTATACACATAAATCCACTAATTTTATCTGAACAATGCGAAGTTGTATACACTAAGCTGACTTTGTTGGCTATATAATCAAATTCCTATGCTTTTACCTACTTTGCTTGCTAGAAGTTTCCAATTCTGGAAGTAGTTTATTAGAATCTCCCAGCCTAACTATACTGTTTAAGTAAAAATTGGGGTTTTTTAAAAACTTTTTTCTTTATATATTTTATTTGATAAGTTGTTTGGTGCATAAGCATTTATGATTTTTCTACCTTCTTCATTAATTTTTTATCATTACATGTCCTTCTTTATTCTGTTGTACTATTTAACCAAATCTGAGAGTTCCTACCTTATTAGAGGAATTCAATCCATTATTTAGTGTAACAAGTACCATGTTTCTTTTTATTCCTTCCATCTTACTTTATATTTAACTAGTTATTTTGCATTAATGCTTCTTTCTCATTTTTACTGATTTGAGCAAATGACCATATCTATTTTCTCCCCTCCCTTAGTCATTTTAAAGTTTTACTGTGCTTTTTTCCCTTTAATATTGATCACCTTCCCATTCTTGGCACTCAAAAATCAAATTCTCATTTCTCCATGATTATGTTAAAAACTATAACCCTTACCAACATATGCTATCTTCTCCTTTTCTCATTCAGTAAAATAAAACATTTAGACTACTTTTACTACTGCTCTTCTGCCCCTATTCTCTTCCTTACCACATTAAGTTTTAATTAAAGATAGTATGGATTTCAAAGCATCATTATAAAAGTCATTATTTAACACTAATAAATCCCCATTCACATTAAGTATCAGCAATGAATGATTCACATCCTTGTGTAATAATTCCCTCCCCTAAGATGTATATGGGAACTGTGACTTTATTCTCATCTGCAGAATATGGTAATAGTGACAGGGAATCACTCTGATTACATTATGATTATATATGTGACAATATATGATATCATACATATAAGACACCATCGAGCAGAAGCAGAAATTCTGCCTTGCTGACTCTGAAGAACCAAGGTGCCATACTATGAAGGGGCCTATGGAACGGGTCACGTGGCAAGAACTGCAGGTAGCCTTTAGAAGCTGAAAGTAATGGCCAATGGCTGACAGCCTGCAAAAAAACCGGTACCTCAGCCCCAGTTTCAAGGAACTAAATTCTAACAACCACATGAGCTTGGAATAGGACCTCAAATCTCAGATGAGATCACAACCCAGGCTGACACTTTTGACTGCAGCCTGACACCTAAACAGAGGACCCAGCTAATCTGCGTCTGGGCTTCTGACCAAAAGAAAATATGGATAATAAATAAATGTGTGTTGTCTAATCCACTAAATTGTGGTAATTTAGTACATAGCAACAGAAAACAAATACACATTATTTAAATTTAAGCACATATATTACAAGAATTATTCCTCACCACTGTTTCCTTTCTTTGGAGTCAGTTTTGATTTATATACTTAGTTAAAATACACGAGTATTTTATCAGAGGATTTAGAGTCAACTCAATCTTTGCATTATCTGCAAAGTAAATTCACTTACCAGAAAGGAAAATATCTTGGCTAGGTGTAAGATTACTAGATTGTAATATATTTCTTAAAATGGGCTATAGATGTTATTTTATTCTTCCAATGTTATACAGATCAACAGTACTCATCATTTTTTCTCCCTTGTATATATATTTTTCTGTCTAGAGGCTTCCTATAGTCTTGAAATTTAGAAATTTTATTCATTGATGTCTAGAAGTGTATGTATTTCAATAATTTTGACTGGCATTTGGCAAACTCGTTCAAATTGCAGATTTAAGCCATCTTTAATTCAGGTAAGTTTTCTTTAACATACTTTTTTAACTCTTTTCCTTCCTCCACCTGTTTCTCTTTTCTGGAAATCCTATTGTTTGCAAGTTTTCTCAGTTGTCTCCATATTATTTCCACCTTTTTTCCTCATGCTTTCCATCTTTTCATGTTTTGTCTCTGATAAATTTCTTCCATGTCAACACCGGTTACTAATTCAGCTCTCAGCAACAGTGACACCCTTTAGTTTCACTTCATCTACTGACTTTTTTTTTTAAGATTTTATTTATTTAACAGACAGAGATCACAAGTAGGCAGATAGGAAGGCAGAGAGAGAGGGAAGCAGGCTCCCCGCTGAGCAGAGAGCCCGATGCGAGGCTCGATCCCAGGACCCTGGGACCATGACCTAAGCTGAAAGCAGAAGCTTTAACCCAGCACCCAGGCACCCAGGCACCCCCATCTACTGACTTTTTAAATTTTAAAAAAATTGAGTTTTTCAGTCCCAGAAAGTTTTCTATGCTATAATGGAATCTCTGAAAATCCTATTTCTTTTATTGTTGAAACTGTTATGCATCTACTAACAGAAATTCTAGCTCACCAGCAGTTGTCTACTTTCTTAGGCACAATACTTGATTTTCCTCTCTTTAGTTGCTAAAGCCCTTGCTCAGAAACATTTTTATCTGTTTACGTACTCCTGACTAGTTATTCCAATTTTCAAGAAAGTATTAAACACTGAGAGGTAGAACAGTCTTCACATGGGCCAACAAAATATTGACAAAATGTGAGTTTTGGGTTGAAGCAATTTGAGGAAGTTTCAATTCTAGTGGTTTCCTTAGGTACAAGTGCAAGAGGTCTCATGAATCCTGACTGGCAAATATATCATTAGGAACTGAAGAATTTTAATCCTCCATGGCCTCTCCATGAGTTCCCCAGCTCCCACCTTTGCCTACCTATGCCAGCTACTGCTTTGTTTGCAAATGAGCTGGATAAAAATGGGAGTTGTCAAATGTCATCTACCTAGCAGTTATTATTTACAGAATTCTCCACCCTAACTTCTTAGCCTGGGCAAAATCATGTTCCTTAATATGGGGCAAAGCATGAGAGAGACACAAGATTTAATAAAGATCATCATTGGCCTATGATGACTTATTGTGAAATTCATAAAAACTAAACAAATAGTTTCAATTTATCTACCAGTTAATCCAAATACTTCCTCTCTGTATGAGAAGAATTAAGACCCATTTAGTAACAGAGGTTTTATAAATGAAGATATTAAAAGACAGAAATAATCTTACCTAACTTGTGATGTATTTTATCCTCTGGTATCACCGTAGATATTTTTACTCTTGAGTCACCTGCAAAATGCAAATGATAATCTCATGAGCAAAGGCTGCTAATTCCATGTTGAATTAAACTGTGCTAGTTGTCAATTTCAATATAAGTATTTTAATTAAATTTAACTCGACAATTATGGTATTACTTCTTTTACTTTTTACTGCTGAGGAATAAAGACTAATTAAAAACAGTGTAACATTTCTTTAGATTTTGCTACAATGTATATGTCTAAAGAGCCTAACAATTAAACATAACAAAAAAGAAGTAAGTTTTCTAGACTTGAGGTAAAATAAGCAACTTAGTACATTAAAATGTAGGGTGTAATAAAGAACGATCAAATGCTAATAATGTAATATATGATCTTTCACACTCTAAAATAGTACAAGTATACTAAATTTAGCAGTGTACCAATTAGGCAGAATTTTCAACCTTAGTATTGAAATACATAGCTGCCATTAATTCTTTCTCTTCCTATGCACAAATGTCATTCCTTATCAAGAAGCAGAGTCTAATTCCCTTTTCTCTGAATTCCCTAATTCCCTGAATCTCTGCTGATCTTAATGACCTGCTTGACCAACAGAACACAGCAGAAATGACATTCTGGGACCTCAAAGTGTAAGTCCTAAGAAGATATTCAAGTTCCACCTGGGTCTCTTAGAACTTCACTTTGGAGAAAGACACCTTATGTGAAGTCTGACCACCCCAAGACTGCCATGCTGTGAGGAAATCCAAGCTAAGCACATGGAAAGAACATGCGGAGAAAAAAGATACATGTGGCCAGCCCTCAACTGTTCCAACCACACCAGTTAAGTGCTAAGTATCTTTTTTGTTGTTGTTGTTAAAGACTTTTATTTTTTTGAAGATTTTATTTATTTATTTGACAGATGGAGATCACAAGCAGGCAGAGAGAGAGGACGAAGCAGGCTCCCCACTGAGCAGAGAGCCCGAGGCAGGGCTCGATCCCAGGACCCTGGGATCATGACCTGAGCGGAAGGCAGAGGCCTCAACCCACTGAGCCACCCAGGCGCCCCTAAGTGCTAAATATCTAAGTGAAAAAAGTCATCCTGGACTTCCAACCCAGTTGAGCTTTCAAAGGACTCAGGACCAGCAGCTTGCATTTTAAGTATGAATGCATGAGAAAGCCCAAGTAAGAACTGCCCAACTAAGCCAAGTCAACCCAAGAACACTGCGAGATAAAAATCAATTGTTGTACTAAGCCACTAAGTTGTGTTTGTTATGGAGCAACATGTAACCAGGACACTTACTGTCTATGAATGACCTAAAACTTCTGATACAATTTTATATGTAATATGCATTTCCTGGAAAGTAAGTCTAAGCTTTCATTATATTCTCAAATGAGTGCACGATACAAAAAGTCTGTTTAAAATGACTGAACTGGGGCACCTGGGTGGCAGCAATCATTTAAGCATCTGACTCTTGATTTCAGCTCAGGTCATGATCTCTGGGTTATGAAATCGAGCGCCAAGTTGGGTACCATGCTGGGCATGGAACCAGCTTTAGATTTTCCCTCTCCCTCTCCCTTTGCCCTTCCCCATCCCACTCATACATGCATGCACACTCACTCTAAAAAAAAAAAAAAAAGTTAAAATTAAATGACTGAATTGGTTACCTTATAAACTTGCAGGCTAAGAAGAAACTTTAGTGATCATAAAATCTAATTTCCCTGTCCAGAACTGGCAAATCTACAGAGATCTATAGAAAATAAAAGTAGATTAGTCGATGCCACAGGCTTAAAAGGTATGGAGAGGTGAGGGAATGAAAGGTGCCTGCTAAAGACAGAGAATACGGGGTTTCTTCTGGGGATGATAAAAATGTTCTAAAATTTACTGTGATGATGGTTACATACCATTGAATTATATTCCATAAATGGGTAAATTTTATGGTATGCTGACTATCTCAATATACATCTTAATAAAGCTGTTACCAAAAAAAATCTAATTTTCAGCAATCCCCACTGGAAAAAGTAGAAGCTAGTCAATGAAAATTCTTAAATAGCAGTGAGCTGAGGGAAGCAGGTGATGGGATCAAAGAAGGAATGAAGCAAATAAATATACTGAGGACAGTCCACTGACAGAGCCTAGAAGTAACGATATCCCAGTAACAGTGAGCACACCAAGTACCCAGATCTGAGTTTCTAAATGCCATTCTCCACTAAAAAGAGCCAGGTTCCCAAGGAGAAATAAGCGACTCCAGAGCTGAGACAAGGGAAGTAGGTCAGAACATCTTAAGCACCCCCCCAAAAAAAAGAGTATTCGAAAAATGACAGAAACGTAATCAAAGGACAAAAGGACCAGTTTGAAAGGATGCCTACCAACCAAATCTGACACAATTTGAGTATCAGAATAAATGAAAGAGATTATAACCACCAAATAAAATAGGAATCCAACAGCAGCCCATAATTATATAGATAAACAAATCAAGAGAAGCGGTAAGAAAAACTATTTCTTACAGAATGCCACTAATTAAAAGACAGGAATTAGGAAAATAGAACAGTACAATTTGGTATCATCATTAGTGGCTGATGATTTGAGTGGGGGTCTTCAAAAGATGATAAAATTGGTGTGAAGGTTTGAAAAGAAACATGTTAGATAATAGCATCACAATATCACACTGCAAAATACTTACCAATTATAAAAGAAAACAACCATATCTTTAGAGTAGAGATAATAACTTGAAAAAGTGATCAAGATTAACATCACCAACAGGAGATGGGCAAACACTGAGTCTCCTAATGTGATGCACAAAGAACATAGCATCATTTCTGTACTACTTCTGTCACCTGTGCATGGCTGGCATCTGATCATGAGGAAACATCAAAAAGACTCAGGTAGAACGTCATTCTAAAGAATAAAAAGTTGTATTCTCTCAAAAAATGTAAAGCTCAGGAAAGTTAGAAAATGCCTGTTGAACTGTTCCTTGCTGAAGGAAACTTAACGGACATGAGAGCTAAATGCAATCTATGATCCTGAATTGGATCCTGAACCAGAACACTAACGGAACTGCTGGTGAAATCTGCAGGAATCAATGAAGGAATACTGGTGTAATATTAATGTTGATTTCCTGACGTGGATGGTTAAAATGTGATTATGTTCTTGTCTTACATCGTATCTGTATACATTTACACACAATACTATGTCTGCAACTTCTTTTCAAATAGTACAGAAAAGGCTAATAATAATGCCAAAGCAATCTTGAGAAAGAACAAAACTGGAGGTATCACAATACCAGACCAAGATATACTACAAAGCTGTAGTATATCAAAACAGTATGATACTAGCACAAAAAGAGACACATAAATCAATAGAATAAAAGAGAGAACCCAGCTATAAATTCACGCTTATATAATCTCTATGACAAAGGAGGCAAGAATATACAACAGAGAAAAGACAGCATATTCAACCAATGATGTTGGAAAAAATGGAGAGCTACATGCAAAAGACAAATGTAACAGGACCACACTTTCTTACACTACACTTTACACAAAAAAAAACCTCAAAATGGATTACCTAACTGAAAGTAAGACCTCAAACCATAAAACTCCTAGGAGAAAACAGAGGCAGTAATCTCACTGACATTGACTATAGCAACATTTTTCTAGATATGTCTCCTCAGGCAAGGGAAACAAAAGCAAAAATAAACTATTAGGACTACATCAAAATAAAAAACTTTTGCATAGCAAAGGAAACCAACAACAAAATGAAAAGGCAACCTACTGAATGGGAGAAGATTATTTTCTTTTTCTTTTTCTTTTTTTTAATATATATATATTTTTTTAATTTTATTTTTTATAAACATGTATTTTTATCCCCAGGGGTACAGGTCTGTGAATCGCCAGGTTTACACACTTCACAGCACTCACCATAGCACATACCCTCCCCAATGTCCATAACCCCACTCCCCTCTCCCAACCCCCCTCCCCCCATCAACCCTCAGTTTGTTTTGTGAGATTAAGAGTCACTTATGGTTTGTCTCCCTCCCAATCCCATCTTGTTTCATTTACTGTTCTCCTACCCCCTTAACCCCCCATGTTGTATCTCCTCTCCCTCATATCAGGGAGATCATATGATAGTTGTCTTGGGAGAAAATTATTTTCAAATGTTATATATATATATATATTTTTTTTTTTAATTTTACTTATTTATTTGACAGAGAGAGAGAACTCAAGTAGGCAGAGAGGCAGGCAGAGAGAGGGGGGAAGCAGGTTCCCTGAGCAGAGATTCCCAATGCAGGGCTCAATCCCAGGACCCTGAGATCATGACCTGAGCCGAAGGCAGAGGCTTAACCCACTGAGTCACCCAGGCACCCACAAATGATATATTCAATAATGGGTTAATATTCAAAATACATTAAAAACTCAACGCAACACCAAAAAGTCAAATAATCTGATTTTAAAATGAGCAGAGGACCCAAACAGACACTTTTTCCAGAGATGACATCCAGATGGGTGAAGCTCAACATCACTCATCATCAGGGAAATGCAAATCAAAACCACAATGATCTACTACCTTATTATCTGGCAGATGGCTAGAATCAAAAAGGTAAGAAACATGCTGGCGAGGATGTGAAGAAAAATGAAACTTCATGCATGTTGGTAGAAATGTAAACTGGTGCAGCCACTGTGGAAAACAGCATGGAAGTTACTCAAAAAATTAAAAATAGAATTATCATATGATCCAGTAATTCCACTACTCGATGTTTACCCAAAGAAAACAAAAACACTAATTTAAAAAAGTATGTTGCACCCTTATGTTTACCGCAGCATAATTTGTAAGTCAAGATATAGAAACAACCCAAGTGTCCATCCATAGATGAATGGATAAAGATGATGTGGTATGTACACAAACCACACACACACACGTATACAAACCACACACACACACAGTGGAATAGTACTCAGGCATAAAAGCTACATCTTGCCATTTGTAACTACACAGATAGAGAATATAATGCTAAGTGAAACAAGTCACAGAAAGACAAATATCATATGATCTCACTCGTG